CCAGCAAGATTTCCTTCTTTTTCATGGCTGAATAATATTTCACGTCATATATATATTATCTTTCTCTATATATATATATTTATATACACATACCACATCTTCTTTATTCATTCATTTATGGATGGGCACTTAGGTTGCTTCCATACCTTGGCTGCTATAAACAATGCTGCAGTAAACACAAGGTTGCATATATCTTTTCAATTTAGTGGTTTTGTTTTCTTCCGATAAACACCCAGAAGTAGAGTTGCTGGATCGTACGGTAGCTCTATTTTTAATTTTTTGAGGAACGTCCGTACCGTTTCCATAGTGGCGGCCCCAATTTATACCCCCAGCAACGATGCACGAGGGCTCCCTTTTCTCCATATCGTCGTCAGCACTTGTTATTTCTTGTCTTTTTGGTGACAGCCATTCTTACGTGTGTGAGGTGATCTCGTTGTGGTTTTGATTTGCATTTCTGTGATGATCAGTGATGTTGAACACCTTGCAAGAGGTGTTTATAGACCAGAGTGAGCAGGTACAAGGAAGTTATACTGGGCATTTGCTGATTGGTTAAAGCAGGGTTACTTACCTATAAGGAGCAAAGGGAAGTCTTGGAGGGGTCAGGAGACTTGTGCTGAGCAGACAAGCCCTGATGGGTAGACTAGGCTTTCCTTTTCTGGGACAGCCAAGCATAGAGCATAGCAATTTAGTTAAGTTTTGGTTTGCTGATGTGGGGTTTAGCATGAGCGACTTATCTTGGGGCTAATCTGGTTACTTTAACATAACCATCCTGTATCTACTTTTCTGTGTCTTGCTTTCCTCCAGCGTCAGCCTTTTGAGATCCATCTATGCTGTTGTACACACTGGTAATTGTAAAATTGTTCCTTTTTACTGTGGAGTCGTAGCCTATGAATATACTGCAATTTCTTTATCCATTTACCTGTAGGGTGGTTTCCAGTGTGAGGTTATTATGAATAAAACTACTGTTAATATTCTCTTACAAGTCTTTTTTGTAAATAAGTGTTCATTTCTTGGGGGTAAGTACCTAGAGGTGGAATTTCTGGGTTTATGGAAGGTGGGCATTTAACTTCTACAGGAGCTGCAAGTTTTCCAGGGTGGTCACAACAGTTTACACTCTCACCAGCAGTGTCTGAGTTCTGGTTGTTCATCACCCTCCACAATAGTTGGAGTCATTTATCTTTATTTCAACATCCTGGTGGGTGTGTGGTGGAATATTGTTGTTTTTTTTTAATTGGAGTATAGTTGAGTTAAATGTTGTGTTACTTTCAGGTGTACAGCAAAGTGAATCAGTTATACATATACATATATCCACTTTTTTGTAAGATTCTACTCCCATACAGGTCAATACAGAGTATCGAGTAGAGTTCCCTGTGCTATACAGCAGGTCCTTATTAGTTATCTATATAGTAGTGTGTATATGTCAATCCCAATCTCCCAATTCATCCCTCCCCCTGTCCCCCCCTGGCAAACCATAGGGTTGTTTTCTACATCTGTGACTCTATTTCTGTTTTGTAAATAAGTTCATTCGTACCATTGTCTTAGATTCCACACATAAGCAACATCACACGATGTCCGTTGTGATGTGCATTTTCCTGATGATGAACAAGTTGTTCTTTTAGTGTTGCACTGTGGGAATTATTTAGACCTTCTAGATACAAGTCCTTGTCAGATGGATGCATCGTGAATGTCTTTTCCCAGTCAATGGATGGGCTATTGATTTTCTTGGTGGCATCTTGATGAGCAGAAGGTTTATTTTTGATGATGTTCAATTTATTAGTTTTTCCTTTTATGCTCAGGGCTTTTTACGGTCCTGCATAAGAAGTATTTTCTCCTCCATTTTCTTCTACAAGCTCTATGTGCTTAGTTTTTTACACTGAAATCTGTGATCCAGGTTGAGTTAATTGCTGTGTATGGTTAAGGGGTCAAGGCTTCTTTTTTCCCTATGGACATCAAGTTGTCACAGCAGCATTTATTGCAGACTACTTTTCCCCTATTGAATTGCTTTAGTGCCTGTCAAAATCATTTCCCTCTATGTGCAAGCGTCTATTTCTGGGCTCTGTGCTGTTTGGTGCTCTGTCTACTCACATGTCCCCATCACAGTGTCTTGATTAGTGTCAGCATTAGCCTAAGACCTGAAGTCAGGCAGTGTAAGTCCTTCTGTTTTGTCCTTTGGGAGCCCAAATGCCTTGTTTTCAGTGTGGAGGTCTTGCATATCTTTCATTAATTTTTCCATAAGTATTTTATGATTTTGGTACCATTATAAATAATATATATATATTTTTGCGGTACGTGGGCCTCTCACTGTTGTGGCCTCTCCCGTTGCGGAGCACAGGCTCCGAACGCGCAGGCTCAGCGGCCATGACTCACGGGCCCAGCCGCTCCGCGGCATGTGGGATCTTCCCGGACCGGAGCACGAACCCGCGTCCCCTGCATCGGCAGGCGGACTCCCAACCACTGCGCCACCAGGGAAGCCCTATAAATAATATTTTATTAAATTTAAAATTGCTTCTTGCTCGTTCTGGTAGATTGTACTTCCCAAATGGCTGCAACAGTGTTTCCAATCCTCAGGCTCCTCCAGAATCTTGCCGCTTTTCCATCAATAAATGGGGTCTCTTTCCTGTCCCCTTGGACTGATCCAGCCTTTGTGGCTGCCTTAACGAACAGGATGTGGTGGAAGAGATGCTGCATGATTTCCAAGGCCAGGTTAGAAGGGCTGACATAGCTTTCACCCGCCTCCTCTTTCCCGGCACCACTGGATCCAGCCACCATGGTGTGAGGAAGCCTAGGCTACCCGAAGAGGCCACGTGTAGGGGTCCCAGCTGCAGCCGGCGTCACACGCTGGATGTGAATGTGAATGAGTGAATGAATGATTGAGGGGGACAGGGTCTGTGACAACTGCCCCTTTGTCATTGGGAAATAGATATTGCTGGTTCTACTAATAGATATCAATAGATATTGATAGTTCTATGTCCAGTCTGGCCCACTCTCTCTAAAAAGAGTGTGTAAAAATGAGAAGAATCTGGACAAGAGTCATCAGAATGCATTTGCAGAGTGCTTTAGGAGACCACCCAAGGAGAATAAAGATTTCCACGAAATGGTCTTCCTTCCCGGACCCTTCGCCCAATCCTGTCAGAGAGGCTCTTTAGTGTGTTAGTTTGTAAATAAGGACAGGAGAGAGGCCTTATGATGAAAGCCTTAAAGGAAATTGGTCTGGGGACAGAGGGAAAGGAAAGGGATTAGGGACTGTTGGCTTCCACTGTGTCTATATTGTTTTGTTCCCTAAACTGGAGAGTAGGGACATGCGTGATAGCTATATGCTTATCTATACCTTTTTACGTGCCATATATATGCCATTCCTTTAAAAATGTCTATAGAGGGACTTCCTGGGTGGCGCAGTGTTTAAGTATCCACCTGCCAATGCAGGGGACACGGGTTCGAGCCCCTAAGCCCGTGCACCGCAACTACTGAGCCTGCGCTCTAGAGCCCACGAGCCACAACTACTGAAGCCTGCGTGCCTAGAGCCCGTGCTCCGCAACGAGAAGCCACCGCAATGAGAAGCCCGCGCACCGCAATGAAGAGTAGCCCCCAATCGCCGCAACTAGAGAAAGCCCACGCACAGTAACGAAGACACAACGCAGCCAAAAACAAATAAATAAAATAAATAAATTTATTTTTTTAAAATGTCTATAGACATGGCAGATATAGACATATAAAAGGTAGACATACAGATGTATACATGTATGAACATTTTAAAAAGGAAATGGGGTTTTAGTTTACGGTAAAGAAGGGCTTAAGAAATGGCTTAAAATCTTATGTATAAATTTACAAAGAGAAACTCATTGCTAGGAACTTTTAGGATCACCCTCAGCATCTGTGACGACCCACTGAGGAAACATTTTCTCCCGCCCTGAAGCTCAGCTCAACAATTTAGAACATTTCTTCTTCCTCAGCTTCCTGCTAAAGACTCATTTCTTATCAGGAACCCATTTTGTTTTGTTTTAGGCCCAAGATAGTCAGGCAGGAATCCTACTTGAAGCTGAAATTGTCAGCCTACAGTTTTCAAAGCAAGTTGTCCATCCCTTCTGCATTTTTTCTAAGAAGATGCGAGTCAGAGGCCAGCGGGAGGGGAGCTTGGGGCCTCATGGCTCTGCCTTCCCGGGGAAGAATCCTCTCTGCTGAACCCTACTCTCCTTGTCAGCCCCTGGTGTTTAACTTGTGCTCAGTGAAGCTTCACGGTCACATCGGTAAGCGCAGGGGCCGGCTCTTACTTAAATTGATTTTCGTGTGTGTTCACTGTAAGGTCAGAATTTTATCAGATATTAAAAAGATGCGGCTTTTTAAAAACAAGCAAAAGTAGATCAAGTGACCTTGGACCAGTCACCTCACCTCTCAACGATTCTGTTTCTATGGAAGAAGGTGTGTGTGTGTCGCGCGCTAAGTGATGCCCAGAATTTCTGACAGCTTCAACACGCCACTAGCTAAAGGTGTAGGGAGGCTGCAGGGCTGGGGTGAGGAGTCCAGAGACCCAGGACCTTCCTGAGTTCCAGGCCACATGTCAGGCACCTTAGAAATAACCTGTTCGCAGAGGTCCCACCGTACTGGACATAGAAGGACAAACTGCGGCGGGATAAAAAGGAAAGTAGGAGCCCGAACGACTCCCACCTGCGCCCCCTGACAAGTGGCAGGCGGGGCAACCAGGTAGCAGATGGGCACAGAGAGAAACGGTCCCTGAGGGGCGCCCGGCTCCTAGGCGAGCCCCTAAAACACCGATCCCGCCTCCCGCGTGCCTTCTCCGCACCTGAAGGAACCTCGGCCTGCGCGACGTTCCAGAGGCTTCCCCGGAGGCCGGGCCCCCCCTCCGCCCGCCCGCCCGCGCCCGGAGCCCGCAGCCCCGGCGCCGCCGCACTGGGCGCTGCAGCTGCGCGGACGACGCAGCCCCGCGCAGGAAGCCGCCCGCTCCCGGCCCGGCGCGCCCCCCATGGCCCTCGGGCCGCCGGCCCCGCGCCCAGCCCCGCGCAGCGCCCGCGGGGGGCACGATGCCCAACGGCCCCGGCCGCGGCCAGACTCTTAAGATGTCCCTGCCCCGGAGGTCGTGGACCCGCACGTCCGTAGGTGAGAGCAGGGGCGCGGAGAGGGGGACGGCCCGGGCTGGGGGTGGGGAGAGGGCGGGGCGGGGTGGGGTGGGGAGGAGGATGGTCCGGGCGGGGGGGCGGAGCGGGGGGAGAGGGCGGGGGCGCGGTCAGGACCCAGCGCCCCGCCTCCCGCCCTCCCCCGCGTCCCCGCCCCGCCCCCGCCGGGGGCTGGGCGCCGCGACACCAGGGAGGCCTGGGCCGGGGGTGGGGACACGGTCAGAGCCCGGGCGCCGGGCAGGTGCTCGTGAGGGCGGCCGCCACCCTCTCCCCCCTCCCGCCTGCCATCGTCCCCCCGCCGCCGGTGCCCGTCCCCACCGCGGTGGGTTCGGGGCGGTTTGCGCACCAGCTTCTCGCCCCTGCCGCCTCGCCGCGCGTTTTGCTGCAGGGCTGGGGGGTGGGGCGGCGGGGCACCCCAGCTTTGTGACTCCCTGGGGCCCCGGGGCCTCGCGCAGCGACGCTCCAGCCGGTGACCCTCCCCCCTCCCTGGGGACGCCCGGGCTGGGCCTCGGAGGCCGGTCTTTTCGAGCCACACGCCCGGTGCCCCCAGGGCGGCATCCTGTCCGCTCGCATCCTTAGGCGCCGTGTTGCGTCCGTTTTGTAGCATGTTTAGGGACCCCAGCCTTGTTGAGCTGGATGTCACGTGATTGTGATACGTGATGGGCTGTCGACACCCTTAGGGAATGAGAGGTGGAAAGGGATTAGATTTCATTCCGTTTCAGGACTCGTGGCAAGTTTGTAGGTCCACCTCTGATACGAGGAAGGTACAGGGTTTGCGGTTTGGAGCTGGGGTCGCTTGGAATCGTGGGTTTTGTTTGCTCTCTTGGAGAAAATAGGCCTATAAAAATAAGTGACTTTCCTATTCCTGTAGTTGAATAATGTGAGAGGAAAACAACTTATCAGACAGTTTAGACCAGTGTTTTGTAAACCTGAGTAACGTAAGGGCGCCTTCAGAGACATTTGCGGAGAATCCCAGTGTCAGAGGCTCCCAGGGCTGACGCTCTCAGGCTAGACCTGCTGCGGGGAGCCCGGTTGGGGGGAGGGCGCCGTCCAGGTGCCAGATGGTCCCCGCGTCGGTGCCAAGGTGTACGTGAGGGCACAGCTGCCCTGTGTTAGGAGGTACAGCCCGCAGCATTTGCTCATGCTTGGGCTGTGGGGTCTCAGTGAGAGCGGAGACGCAAAGATGGCTCGAGGGGTTTTGGTCCGAGAAACTGGAAGGATGTACCCTTTACTGAGATAGGGAGAGCTGCAGGAAGAGAAGGGTTCTCTTTTTGGCGGGGGTGGTGGTCAGGAATTTGGTTTTGAACGTGTGAAGTGCCTACCCTAGAGTGGAGTCAGGCCGGTGTCCAGACCAGAGAAGGACGTTCACGATTGCCCACGGGCTCTCAGGACGGGTGTGTAACCACGCCTCACACGGGCCCTAGTCTTGGAAGAGCCCCGAGTTTGTCTTCATGCTCTGCTCTTGCTATGTTGGGGGTCTTACTGATTTTTGAACAGGGGGCCTGCGTTTTCATTTGCCACTGGGCCCTGCCGCTTATGTGATGTGTATCCACGTGGCCAGAAAGAGAGGGGTCCTTGTGCAGAGCCCTGGGCACTCCAGCATTTCAAGGTCAGGGAGATGAGGGCAACAGCAGGGGGGCTGTGAGGATGGCCAGTGAGCTCGGAGGGAACCCGAGAGGCGGTGTCCAGGAAGCCGGGGTGTCCAGCTGGGCCCAACATTACCAAGCGCTCAGGACAGGTGAGGCTTGAGAACCGCCCATTTCTTCAGCAGTGGGGAGGGGACGACATCGATGACCTTGAAGGGAGCTGATTGTGTGTAATCACAGGGAAGCATATCTGTAAGAGCAGCTTCAAGAGAGACTAAGAGGACAGGTATTGGAAACAGCATGACCGGAAAACTCTTTTGGGTGAATTTTGTAACTGGGGGCGCGCGGCGGGGAGCACAGTGAAGGGTCACTGAAGGAGGATATGAGTTCTAGAAGGCTGTTTTAAGGCTAATGCTACTGTTGCACAGTTGCTGGCATGAACGTCAAAGGCAGGGCATTACAGGGAGAAGGAAGGGCAGGGATCTGAGATCCACGGTGGGTGGCAGCAGCATCAGGGCGGAGCAGTGCGGGCAAGTCCAGAGGGGGAGGGGGAGAGGGAGGGGCTTCGCTGACGGATAGGCTGTGAGTTCAGGAAGACAGGGAGGAAGGTTTTAAGAGACGGTGGTCTGTTTGGGGTATTTACACATTGTGTGAGGAAGCGGGCGACCTGGACAGTGTGGGCTCCCAGGGGGCAGGCATTTGAACTTGGGTAAAGGGCCTGCTGGGATCAGTTTGGACGACAAAGACGGCAGATGGAAGTGGGGGAGGAGCTGTGAGGGCTGCGAGGGAGGGTCCTGAGCTCTGAGGCCTCTTCTTTCCACTCGACAGAGTGGCGAGGCCTGGACAGTAGCCCTGTACTCCTCCACGGGTATTTTTAAAAGAGCCTTTTCTGAAAACAAGACAAAAACATCCTGTTAGGATCTTGGTTAAAGTTGCATTCAATTTGTAGATTAATCTGGAGAGAAGAGACATTTTAAAAATGTTGAGCCTTCTTTTAATTAATTTATTTTTATTTTGGGCTGTGTTGGGTCTTCGTTTCTGTGCGAGGGCTTTCTCTAGTTGCGGCGAGTGGGGGCCACTCTTCATCGCGGTGCGCGGGCCTCTCACTGTCGTGGCCTCTCTTGGTGCGGAGCACAGGCTCCAGACGCGCAGGCTCAGTAGTTGTGGCTCGCGGGCCTAGTTGCTCTGCGGCATGTGGGATCTTCCCGGACCAGGAATCGAACCCGTGTCCCCTGCATTGGCAGGCAGATTCTTAACCACTACGCCACCAGGGAAGTCCCCAAAATTACATTTTCAATTGGTGTTGCTGGTGCCTAGCAAAGGTTTTGGGGTTTTATATTGACTGTGTACCCAACAACCTAGTGAACAGTCTTATGAATTTTGATAGTTATGGATTCTCTAAATTTTTCAAGTGTAGACATTCTTATTATCTGCAAATAATAATTTCATTTCTTCCTTTATAATTGTTATAACCCTTATTTTTCTTATCTGATTATATTTGCTAGTACTGACAAAAGTTTACCAGAAGTGCCCTTTTTGCTCTGCTCTTAGAACGTTAAAGGGAATGCTTGCAGAATTTCATGCTTCTAGAGTATGATACTTGCTCTGAGAAGTCGGCAGTTGTATTACACTAGGGAGGTACTCTTGTATTCCTACCCATTACTCAGTTCATTAAGGGCAGAGGCTGATTTATTGTGTACCTTGAAGATAATCATAAGGGACCAGGAAGATACTAAAGATTCCTGGTGGCTGTAGAGGGTGTCTTCCTTTTGTCTCTGGATCTTTGTGCTCATTAAAAGTGAATCATGGGGGCTTCCCTGGTGGCGCAGTGGTTGAGAGTCCGCCTGCCGATGCAGGGGACACGGGTTCGTGCCCCGGTCCGGGAAGATCCCACGTGCCACGGAGCGGCTGGGCCCGTGAGCCATGGCCGCTGAGCCTGCGCGTCCGGAGCCTGTGCTCCGCAACGGGAGAGGCCACAACAGTGAGAGGCCCGCGGACCGAAAAAAAAAAAAAAAAAAAAAAAAAGTGAATCATGGCACACCTGTCAGAATGGCTGTAACGAAAAATGCTGACATCACCAAATCCTGGCCAGGGTGCAGAGAAACTGGATCCCTCATTCGTTATTGCTGGGCAGGTGAAGTGGTCCAGCCACTCGGGAGAAAAGGTTGGCAGTGTCTTCCAAAGCTGAACCTGCAGTGACCATTTGACACAGCACTTGTGCTCTTGGGCATTTACTCCAGGGAAACAGAAACTTATCTTCGCACAAAAACGTGTACTTCAACATTCACAGCAGCTCTACTCCTAATCACAAGAAAATAGATGTCCTTCAGTGGCTGGATGATTGAACAAAAACTGGTGCATCCACAGCACGGAACACTGCTTGGCAATAAACAGGAACCAACTACAGCAGCTTGGGTGGAGCTCCAGAGAACTGTGCTGAGAGAAAAAAGTCCAACCACAAAAGGTTATATACTGTCTGATCGCATTTATGTAACGTTCGTGAAATGACAACAGTATAGAAACGGAGGGCGGATTAGTGCTTGCCAGGGGTGAAGGAGGATGCAGGGGTGGGAAGGATGTGAGGGCAACGTGAGGATCCTTATGCTCATGGGGATGTTCTGTGTCTTGACTTCCTGCATATCGGCATCCTGGTTGTGATGTTGTCCTGTAGTTTTGCAAGATGGTGCTGTCGTGGGAAACTGGGTAAAGGGTACACAGAAAGTTCAGTGTCATTTCTTACAACTGCGTGTGCATCTGAAATGGTCTCAAAATAGAAAGTTTAATATACAAAAGTAAAGCACAGTCATTTCTCATCAAATAAACTAGTTAACTGTTATGTTTCAGGTCTTGTAGTATACTCCAATTGAAGACATATGAGTTATATCGTTGTAATTTCATTGATAGGATGTTCCCTCAGGGCCATTAAGTTGTAGAGCACCTATTCTAGAACACCGCTGAGCCTCTGTGTTGGATGGATGTGTTGGATGGATGTCACTCTGCCCGTCCATCTCTTCTGCCCTCTCCTGTCTTCAAAGGTGGTTTTAATTTTTAATTTTGTTTTGTTTTAAAAGGCATTCCTACATGGGCCTAGTTTGCCCCTAACGAGCATTCCTACTGGTCTTCAAAGGTGGTTTTAAGTTTTAATTTTGTTTTGTTTTAAAAAGCGTTCCTACATGGACCTAGTTTTCCCCTAACAATCTGACCCAAGTTTCAAGGGAAGAATGAGGAGAATTGGGGCAGATGAAAGGGTGAAGAGCTCAAATGTAAGGGCTGGAAGGGATCTCAGAGTTTATCCCCTCATTTCACAGAAGAGAAAAACAATCCAGTTGTGTCTTGTTTGCTGGTCAACTTCTGGCAGGACCAGGTAATTTCCGAATCCAGGGTGCTTTCCACTATT